AGCGACAAGACAATCTTGTATTCTGTGGCTTCTGCGCTGGTGAACTGTACCAACAGCTACGATACCAAGGAGCTGGTCCCAGAGCTGGTGCAGCTGGCAAAATTCTCCAAGCAGCATGTGCCTGAGGAGCATCCAAAGGTGGGTTGTTCAGAAAGACTTTTTTTGGTGTATCCATTGTCACAGACTTCAGGTCTCCTGTCTCCAGACTGAAATTGCCTTGCTCTCCAGCCAGGCTTGGCTCTTAGGTGGCAGGATGGCAGAATGGCAGCTGCTAAGGGCTAATCCTTTCCCAATGTTTCCTCCTCAGGACAAGAAGGACTTTGTGGTGAAGCGGGTGAAGCGGTTGCTGAAGGCTGGGGTTGTCTCTGCCTTGGCTTGCATGGTGAAGGCTGACAGTGCCATTTTGACTGACCAGAGCAAGGAGCTCATTGCCAGGTGCCTTCACTGCAGTCCTGGGGCTGGGAGTGTTGGGCAGCCCCAGTGCCACGGGGATGGACACCAGGGGTGGGGCATTCTGCCTGTGGAGGAGTGTGTGAAGCAAAGATTTAAAACCAAAGCTTTTGTTCAGCAGTGTCATAAAAATCCATGTTCTGACCTTCAAGCTGCCTTGCTGGAATGCATTTTTGAGTTCTCTGTATTGGTTCTGGCTTGTATAGAGTTAATTTTACAGACCTGGAAACTTCTTTGTCTGTCATTTGTTGCTTCCTCATAGAGTGCTGTGTGGATGGGGTTAAGTCACCTGGAATTTACCTGGTGGCTCTAGCACTCCTGCAAAACCTCAGCCCAGTTCCAGGAGTGCTGTTGGCTGTTGCTGTCCCCTGTGGCTGTTTCACCGAGTGTTCTATGCCCCTGCAGGGTGTTTCTTGCCTTGTGTGAAGACCCCAAGGACCGCGGGACCATTGTCGCTCAAGGTGGTGGGAAGGTGATTACTTTTATATTCACAGCTCCTGATGTGCTGCTAATGTCTGCTGGGAGCCTGGGGTGTGTCTCCGGTGAGGGACAGTGACAGAAGAGCACAAGCTGTCCCCACCGGGGCCATACTGACACTGCAGTCCCATCTCTGCAAGGCTCCAAAGAAGTGATGTTCGGTGTGAGCTTGTGGTGCCTCTTTGAGAACAAAAGCAAGACATCACATGGGATATTTTTAATTTGTTTTAGTCTGTTAAGATAATCCTGTAAATCTTCTCAGAACACTGAATGCTTTTTCCTGTGTGTCTCCAGGCCCTGATACCTCTGGCTGTGGAAGGCACAGATGTTGGCAAGATAAAGGCTTCTCATGCTCTGGCAAAAATTGCTGCTATCTCCAATCCAGACATTGCATTCCCAGGGGAGAGGGTAAGCTTAAAAAAATAATAATAAAAACAAAAGCATTGATACTTCCTTTAGCAAATGAAAATTGCTAATACAGTCCTTCTCTTCCAGGTGTACGAGGTGGTGAGGCCCCTTGTTAGCCTGCTGAACACAGAGAGAGATGGCCTCCAGAACTACGAGGCTCTGTTGGGGCTCACAAACTTTTCAGGAAGAAGTGATAAACTTAGGTGAGCTTTGCTGCTTTTTAACCTTCCTTCTTCCCCAGGAATGAATGTGAGTTACTTGTTGGACTATGAAGATGAGTTAGTTTGAGCTACCTTTGGCAGAGCTACAACGGTCTCAGAGCTAAAAGACTGATGAAATAAGAAAAGGAGAGTGGCATATTTTCCTCTAGAAACAGCAAAGATATGAACTTCATCTGTATTAGACAGGGAATGAACCACGTTATGAGCTCCAGACACTGATTTGTTTCAAGGCCTTCCCTGCAGTTAATATTTAATAAGTTGACTACTGCTTGACCTATAACGTGGGGTTTTTACTGCTCTTTGCCACAGGTTGAAGATAGTCAAAGAGAAGGCCCTGCCAGATATCGAAAACTACATGTTTGAGAACCACGACCAACTTCGACAGGCAGCCACAGAGTGCATGTGCAACCTGGTGGTCAACAAGGAGGTAACCCCTGGGCACGTCCAACCTGACTGCATGCGCCTGGCCCTGTGAGGAGCTGTCCCTCCTTGTGTTACCTCCGGGTATCTCTGGGGTTTTTTTTAGGTTCAGGAGCGGTTTGTGGCTGATGGCAACGACCGGCTGAAGTTGGTGGTGTTGCTGTGTGGTGAGGATGATGAGAAGGTTCAGGTTGCAGCAGCAGGAGCCCTGGCCATGCTTACGGCAGCACAAAAGAAACTCTGCTGGAAGATGACTCAAGTGGTGAGGCCATAACTCGGAGTGTGGGCAGTGTGTGGGATGTACCCTGCAAGGGTCCTCGCTCAGGCATGAAAAAGTCTCTCCAAAGGAATATAAAATTTACTAGTTCGAACCTAGAGAAGCTGGGACCTGGGTGTGCCTGCTTTTAGTCCATTTTGATAAATAACCTGAAATCCAAACCTTGTTCCACCTGGAAATGAGAAGAGCTTTAGAGATCCCAAAGGATGTCCTTTCCCTGCACAGATGTGTAGACCCTGAGAACCCAGATCCTGCATGGCTGAGTGTCTGAAGAGCTGTGGTTGAGAACTCCTGAACCCTATCTTGTTGCACACATGATTGGACTCTGGAGCTCATTAAGATAAAATGATTAATCAAGCCAACAGAGAAGCTCAAACAGGTTGGGGTAGGGAGTGTCCTGGTCATCTCAGCTGTGTCAAGACTCTGGTCAGATTCTTTTCACAGAGATTATGCAGCAGCCTGAATATGAAACATGTTCCATGTTGTCCCACTGCTGTGGAAGATTCTGACTTAGGTGTAAGAAAAATTGGGTTAAAATGTTTGGAGTCAGGTTTCCTTGGTTAAAAAATGAAATAACCATAAGTGACATGATTATTGCTCTTCCTTCTGCTGAAGGAAGCAAAAGTCATGTTCATGGTTGAGATATTCTTTCCTTTGCAGACCACCCAGTGGCTTGAAATCCTGCAGAGGCTCTGCTTGCATGACAACATGGAGGTCCAGCACCGAGGACTGGTCATTGCTTTCAACTTAATCAGCTGTGACAAAGAGCTGGCGAAGAAGCTGGTGGAGTCAGAGCTCCTGGAGATCCTGACGTACATCGGGAAGCAGGAGGATCACCCCAAGAAGCAGCACATCATTAGTGTGGCTCGTGATTGCCTGACCAAGTGCATGGATTACGAGCTGATCAAACCTCTCTCTCAGGCGTGAGGGAATGAAAAGCACCAAAAAAAGGCTGAGTGTGGGGGGAAAAAATGGAGAAATATGGAAAAGTGAGAGCCGTGAGGAGAATCTAGTGCCATTGTCAAGGCACTGAATAGTTTGGGGACAGCTTTGGAGGATCATAAGCTTTATGAGTAAAAGGAAGGAATTTGCCTGGGAAATTTGGGAAGTGTCCATCTCAGTAATTCCCAGATGTTGAAAATCCTTTCTCTGCCCCCATTCAGCTGATAATGATGAAAGCTTCAGCTGTAAAAGAGTTGGTTATGTTGGAGATGTGTCAGCAGGCTGTTGGAAGGAAACTCAACAAAGCTGAAATTGGTTCTGCCACCACCTCCAGCTCCTGGTACTTCTGGAATTCCCAGCAATGGTGGAACAGGGAGGGTTAAGTGCCTTCTGTTCTGTAGTCAGAAAATAGGATTTTGGCTGTGTGCTTTTTTGTTCATTTATTGGAAGCTATGTGCCAAAGTGTGGGGCACTTAATAAATTCACTACTTTGTTCCATGTGGAATTCCTCTTCTGATTTTATTAAGCTAAAGGAGAATTTAAGGCAAGTCTTGCATCACACCTGGAAAAATGGAGTAACTGGTAATACAGGTGGAATTTTCACTCCTTGCAAACCATCCAGTGCTCCTAAATGCAGCAGTCACCACAAAGGTGTCACACCAAGGCACAGGGAATGTTGAAAATAACCCATTTATGAAAAAATCAGAATGAGAAGCAATCCACCAGTCATCATCACATTAAACTTCATTACATAAATATTTTCATTCAAGCACAGATTCTTAATGCAGGCTGTGGACAACACAAAAATCACAGACTGTTGTTTTAATTGCTGGGAAAGTCTCTAAGCATGTAAAAAAATATAATCTTACTCAATAATTATACATTTAAATATTAATTCAAACGCATTAAAATATTTCTCATCATACTAAATATTAGTGATGTTCACAATAGGCATAGCATGATGAAATGTTGAGGTTTTGGGTTATAAAAGGAACCATGAGGATAGTATTTTCTTGCCTTTTAAGGGAAAAAAAATAATGAAAGTGTTTCTAGTGTCCTGAATTTGGAAAAGATTGAAAATTTTAAGCTAATAGGTTTGATAACCTGAAGGCAAATTTATTTGGAGGGTAATTCTAGCCGTATTCAATTAATGTAATCACGTTCAGTTCAATTGCTGGTGCTTTATAATCACAGCTTTACAATCAGGCTGTTCTAATAAACCGAGAGAGCCACATTCTGTGCAGGGAAATACGGTTTGTTTTCTATCAGCCTTCACTTTTTGGATACCCATTTTTAGGCTTTTGAATCTGGCTTTCGAAAGTACTTTACATTACCTCTATTCGGGTTTACCTAGGCAGGATCTCCGACACCAAAACAAAATGCCATTGGTATTGCAGGGCAAAGTTTCCCTCCTCCTACTGAAGCTTCTCTTTGGAGCACCTGCGTTCTACTAACTGACTGTTGCTGAAGTTGAGCGCGGAAATACTTTCTGTAAAAGCCATTTATTGGCATTTCTTTTAGCTAAACTCGGACAGAAAACGCGTTTTACACATCCAGGGACCACCCCTCCCTCAGGCCCCCTCACGCTTCCTCAGGGCGGGAAACGCTCGCACCGCCCCCAGCCCCTGTAACGCGCCTTCCTATTGGCTCCCACCGGCAGAGCCGCGCGCTGTGATTGGTTGTTACCAGCGGAGGGGTGGGGCGAAGATGGCGGCGCGGCTGGGCCTGTGGGAGCGGAGCGGCGTGAGGGGAGCGGGGCCGGGACATCGGGGTCTGCGGGATGCGGGACCGCGGTGGGACAGCTGAGGGCTCGGAGTGTGTGGGGACGGAGACAGGGAGGGTGAGGGCACGCGGAAGCGGCTCTGGGGGTTGGCTGAGCGGCGTGAAGCCGGCTGAAGTGTAAAAGGCATGTAGGGTTTACTGAGAGGATAGCTGGGAGCTCGGGGTGTGAGGCTGGGGTAGGGCGGTGCGGGCAGAGGAACTGCGGACTGAGGAGCAGTAGGGACCTGGTGGGGAGGGTACAGGGAAGGAGATGGGAAGAGAGTGTAAACGTGTGGCGTGAGGGATCCAAACAGGCCTCTGGAGCCTTGGAGAGACACTGACTGCAGCAGCGTTTATAGGTATGACACGGTTTTTTTCATCTTGTGTTTGTCTGGTACTGCTCTGCTGACCTTGGAATGCCATTTTGTGACCCGTCTTCCTCAGCTTCTGCTCGGCTGTAGAAGGGATGTCACCTCTGTCCCTGTGCTCCCCTGCTCCCTAGGGAGGAGGAAACCTCCCAAGCCCTAGGTTGGGAGTGAGCTTCTTATGGAAGGCAGATTTGCCCAGAAGCAATGATGAGCGAAGTATAGTCTGAACTGGTATTGCCGAGATCCGTGTCTCTGCTCTGACCAGGGCATGATCACCTAATCTTCTCTCTGAGCTACTTTAGGCTAAGCTCGTCTGCAGGAAAACAGCTTTGCTGTTCTTGAAACTTTGATGCACCCTAAAAAAAAAATACTAAGAAGTTTTAGCAATTTAACGGCAGAAGAAGCCTTGATTTGAAAAGTAACCCAAATACTTGTTGCTGCAGCATTGTGTGAGCTTGCACTGATGTGGGGGATGTGGGTTTATCTTCTGCGTGTGCCATGGATCACAAAACTCCAGACACTGTGCCACTGTATCTCCTCTGAAAGTGCTGTGCAGACTCTGAGCTGTCTGTCCTGTAGAAGCTCATCAGCAGTTAATTCAGTGTTTTCATTTAGTGCTTGCCAGCAAGGAGCCAGGAGTATTTTTGGAATACTCCTCATGAAGTGGAACCCCTTTGGGGTTGAGGGAAGGGCCCAGGAAAAGATATGGGGCTATTCTCTAATTCAGTTTTTTTGTTCTTTTCCAGGTCCTGATGATATCTTTATATTGATTTCTCTAGTCCTGTGGAGAAGGAAGCATCTATGTGGAATATGGGCCTAGGAGTATGTTTTAGTGGTTTTCCCTTAATAGGAGAAGCTACTTTGTTTCTGTTAAGGAAGTAGTAAAAACTCAGTTGCTTCATTCTCTGATTTTTGAACACTGCCTAGATGAGCTCTGAATGTGCCTTAGGTTCACAAAATAATTTTTAAAAGATTTGCGAAGTGAAGTTCTGGCACTGGGATACTGAACACCTCCAGTGCTGCTGTTAATGTTGATGAAATTGTATTGAGCAACACCAAAGCATCCTTAGGGTGTTTGTGGTACATGACTCTATATAAATCACAGCTTGGTATGTAAGTCCAAAGGTTGGTTTAATAAAGTTGATGCTCCCTGAAAAAAACTTCTCTTGTCGATCTTTAGCCTGTCGTGGTTTTAAGAATACAGTTATAAAGCAGATAAATGGGAATTTTTCTATAACCCAAGTTGGTTTTGTAGCTTAGCTTTAGAGCAAGAAAGCTGACAAATGAGCATTAATTGGCTGCTAAGGACAGGAGGTTTCAAAGGAGTCAAATCCCAGTTGGTATCCTGCAGCCATCTCCAGGATCACACAAAATCTGCCAGGTAACTGCTGCGCTTGTCACCATGGTGGGTTTGATACTTGTTACTCAGCTAAGCTTTAAAGGACAATTTATTGTGTAAAAGAGTAATTGCAGCTGCTCAGAAATGGGAGGCTTTGATGTGGGTGGTTCTGTGCAGGAAAATAAACCTATCCTGAAAAGCAATCATCAGTCAAATGCTTATTTAAATGAGCTTTGCACTGGAGTCACCAGGACATTAACAAAAAGTAAAAAGTGATGTGGAACCTCAGAAAATCTCACACCTTGATGTGATCTGTCTTCCAGTAAGATGTATGTGTTCTTACTGGCTCTCTAAAGGGAAGATAAGTATCTTCATGGACTCCATAGCTACTGGAGAAGAGAAATCAGAGTTTTTATTATTACTCCATAGTGGCACAGGTAGAAGGGTCAGGGGGGTGTACAGAGATAATAAAGCACCAGGAACAAATCTCGTTTATTAGGTGTTTGGGGAAGATTCAAATTACTGCATTTTCCCACATTATTCACTAACCTTACTCCCTTGCTTACAGGTGAAGGAGGATATTGGGGATTTTTATCTTCTGAAGCAGAGCTAAAGTGGAGAGAAAATGAGATGTCTGGTTCAGTGGATTAAATGTTAGAAAATATCTCTAAATCTGGAAAGACCAGAGTGGGGTCCTGGACTCTGTGCAGCAAACTTTGCTCTTGTATTCTCTAAGCACTGTCACCGTGGTATCTGGAGCACTGCTGCTCCCTAGAGTAAGGAAAACAACCTTCCGTCTGAAAAATCAGGTGTCAAGCAAGAGCCAGCCATGTCACACAGATTTTTATTTCCTCCTCTGTTCAGTGGAGGGATGTTTTGTTCTGATATGAATGGGCTACATGGTTGGGAATGGAATAATTGCAATGTAATGCTCAGACATTAAAGATTCTCAGCCTACAAAATGCTAATCTTACATCCACTACCATCACATGGAAAAATGAAAGCAGCTTTAGTCTTGTCTCTCTTATGTAAATAGAGCCCCCAGAGGAGCAAGCTGTTTTTTCAATAACCAGAAAAGAATTAAATTAGGTTCTCAATCAAGAAAGAATTTTGCTTTATAAAAGCAGATAATAATGAATGAAAATACTTCTTTAACAATAAACCCCTCTCATCAGTTGGGAGTCTGTTTTAATCTGGTTTGTCATTTTCTCTCTTGTGTAGAAAATATCACATTCCTCTTGTCCATCTTAAACAGTCAAAAGTCTTAATTTAGAACTGTTGATGGGAATTTGGAGGGTGATGTTCTCAGTTCCAAGGTGAAGAGCCTGAAAATGCAGGAGGCTGAAGAGCAGAGGTTTAAGCCTGTCTCCACCTCTGACAAAGCCAGAGCTCACCCTGGGCAGCACAAGGGCCTGGGAAGCTGCCCAGGGAAGAAAATCCTGCCTAGAGCATCTCCCTACCTCTTTAATTTGCTGGCTCATGCCCTCAAGCAGCACCAGTGCTGGTCTTCGATTTGGATAAGAGGAATGCAGATGTGAGGATCAATGTTTCCTCCCTTTCAGCTGGTCTTTTATGGCACTTCAGTGCTGGCTGACAGGCTGGGGCTGTGTGATCCCTCTGCAACTGCCAGGATGTTTGAACAGCTTATCAACAAAGGGCAGAGCATTGCCAGGGTGTGCAAAGGCAGCAAAGCTGACCAACCATTGAGTCCAAAGGTGCTGCAGAGCTCACCGAGGAGCTGCGGCGGTCTGAAGCCTTCCAAGAGATGCACAAAGAGGTGCTGGAGGCTCCTGGGAGCCCTTCAGCTCTCAGGGGAGTAGAGTTTGACCAGGTGCTGCAGCTCTGTGGCATAGCCCGTGACTGGGCAGCGCTGGTGAGCCTTCACGTAGCCGTGGGCGCAGCGGTAGCAGAACACGAAGCCGGAGGTGGCCAGGGCCGTGGCGTTCACGCGGACCTTGCGGCACAGGGGGCACACGGTCCTCAGGCTGGGCAGGACAGCCGAGCCGGGCTCCTGCTCCAGGTGCACGGGGGGTGGGGGCGTGGGCAGCGCTGTCAGGGACTTGATGGTCTCCTGGTTTTCCGAGGAGTACCACCACTCCAGGAACTGGAGGAAGAACACGCTGACGGACAGGCCAGTGGACAAGGAGAAGGCAATGCCGGCCAGAGCTCTCCTCAGGGCCGACTGCACTCGTGAGGTAAAGCTGTAGCAGAGAGAAGCAGGGAGAGATGGTTATTACTGCATATTTATCCATCTAGAAACCATGAGGAAAAGCACTTGGGGAGTGACTGCTCCATACAGCTCCTTAACGCTAAGTTAGTTGGTCAATGTGTCCCCTGTTTGCACTTATAAGGATGTTTCAGATACTTTTTTTACTTTAAGGAAGATCCAAATCCTGCTTTTTTCAGCAGTCTAAATCAGAAGAATTTGGATTAAAGGATCCTGGACCACAGAGTGTTTCACTCCTGGATCACTATTTCACAGTATTCAGTGTGCCCATGACTAGCTGCTGCTTAGGAAAATCAAAGAAAGAAGTTTCAATCCTTTCAGCAACATTGCTGCAACTGCTGCACCTCCTTTGCTGGAAAAGTGCAGGGGAAGACTGAACAGAATAAAGGCTTGCATACTCAAAAACACCCCCAAATTCTGAAATATTATTACCACAAAATAGTTCCAAGCTAATCCCTACTACTGGTTTCCTTATTTTCACTCACAATACATCCTTTTGGAGCGCATTTTGTCAGAGTGAACTTTCATCTTGAATTTTTGGAGAACAAGGCACTTTTACTTGCAGCATCATCTCTAAATTTACACACCCACAGAACCCCCTGGAGAGCAACACCTGAGCCAGATTCTGCCATACCTGTGTGTTTGACTTGAGGTGGTTTCAGCCCATTTCTTCTCCAGGGCATGGATATCCTCTGCAGTCAGCCTGACCAGGCGGACACCAGCCAGCTTCAGCATGGGGGAATGATGCTCAGCCTTGCCCAGGATGTAGCAGAGCTGCTGGATAAGAAACCAGCCCTCCCAGGTCATGTTTACATAGGGGTAGGCAGCTAGAAAGGCTCTGTAGAAGCGCTTCCAGGATGACGAGGGAGGGTGGATGGAGTACTCATCCTCCTCCCTCAGGCTGGACACCAGCTTCTCCAACTTTCCTTTCAGATAAGGAACAAGAACCAGCAGGAGCAGAGACTTCCAGTGCTGCCTCTTTGGCAGGCCAGCTGTGGCCAGAGGTCGCTGTCTGCCATCTCCCATGGGGATCCTCTTCATGCTGTAGAAGTTCTCAGAGAAGGATGCACTGCACCTGGCCAGGAAGTGCTGCTGGAGCAGCAAATCCAGAAGGACGTAGATCTCATCAAACCAGTGCCAGAGGAACCCGTACCGGGCAGGATTGGACTCAGCAAGCACCTGTTGCAAAAGGGACACAAAACAGGAGGAATCAGAGTGGTTTGGGCTGGAAGGAGCATTATAGATCATGCGGTTCCAGCCAGACACCTTCGGCTATCCCTGGCTGCTCCAAGGCCCGTCCAACCTGGATTTGAACATCTCAGGGATGGGGCAGCCACAGCTTCTCTGGGCAGCCTGCGCCTGAGGAAGGAAAGGATGTAAAATCGGAGTAAAGTGCTAAATTAAAAATCACAGCAGCTATAAACGACGCCTCTCATTCTCACCACAAGCCAGGTGGCTCACAACTGTCCCGCGGCCTCTGAGCGCGGCCGGAGCCACACCAGCCCCCCTCCTCTCCCTTCACCCGCGGCCCGCCTCGCCCTCACCTTGACCAGGTGCTGCAGGGCGGGTTTCACGGCGGCCATCAGGCTGTCCTGGGCCACCGCCTCGAACACGGACGGCCGCTCCTCGCCGGCCGGGGCGGCCGTGAGGTGCGCGCCCACCTCCGCCATGACACCGCCACACCGCCCCGCCGCCAGGGGGCGCCCCGGCGCCGCCCCGCAGAGCGCCGCTCCGCCCCGCCCTCCCGGAAGCGCGGGCCGCCGGCGCTCCGCCCGCCGCCGCCTCTCTATGGTGCGGGGCGCGGCCGCTCTGGGCGGGGAGGGTTTGATCTCGCTGCTCGCGAGTCCGCCCGGCCCCGCCGCTTCCGGTTCCGCCGCCGCCCCCGCAGCGGTGAGTGCGGTCCGTGAGGGGGCCGGGGCTGAGGGCGCTGCGAGCGGCACGGGCAGCGGGAGGGAGCCGCGGGGCGGGGCACAGGGCGGGCTGGGGCACTGGTGGGGAGTTAGGAGGGGCTGAGCGGGTGCTGGGAGGGGATATTGGGAGAGGGGAGGGCGGCGGTGGGGTGCTGCCGTGGGGTGGGTGGGGGAGAAGCTGTGAGGTACTGGGTTAGGGAGGGGCTGGGGGACGATGGGAGGGCGCTGGGAGGGGATACTGGGGGGCACTGGTATGGGTGGGAAGGGGATACTGGGAGAGGTGAAGGGTACTGGGAGGGACACCTGGGGTAGGGTGGGAAGGGGCACCAAAGGGGCATTGGGAGGGGGTCAGTGCTCCTGGGAGGGGGAACTGGAGTGGCGTGGGGAGAGTGGCTGGTCAGGCACTGGGAGTGGCTCTGGAGATGGACTGGAAGAGGATGGGAGGAGTGGGCAGGTGGTTGCAGAGGAGATGGAGGGGTGAGGAGTGGGGTCAGTGGGTCCTGGGGTGAGGTGGGGGTGCTGGAGGATGGACTGGGATGGGAATGAGCATAGCAAGGTACTGGGATAGTGGTGGGAGCAGGCAGGGATAAGGGCTGGGTGCTGAGAGGGACTGGCAGACACTGCTGGGAGGGGAACTGGGATTTGTGGGGAATGTGCCTGTAGCTGGGGGATACTGGGAGAGAGCTGGGGAAGGGCTGGTGGGCAGGGGGCTTAGGGGGATGCCAGTCTGGAGTGTGGGTGGGTGCTGGGAGTCCTGCTGGAGGTGTGGGAGGGGCTGGCAGCAAAGCTGGGATGGGGCTTCCAGGGAATGGTGGTAGGTGGTAGGAGGAACAGGTGGAATGGGGACCACCCAAGGGGGTGTTGGGTCTCCAGAATGGGAACAAAATCCTTGTGCCAGCACAAGTTCAGGGCTGCAGACACAGCTCTCCCTCTGCTGTCCATGTTCCATTGTTTTGTTTATCTCCTGGTTCTCCAGTGGCCCTGGGCCACACTTGGGCTGTCACACAACTCCTTGAGAGGCTTTCCAGGAAAAATGGGTGGCACCGCTTACACTGGAATTAAACCAGGGATCAGTTGAGAGATTTAGGGATTGATGGTTTCAGTGTCCAGGAGCTTGCCTTAATCCAAGGCCCTTAAACCTGCCACACTCTTGTGTGGGGTCAGTGCTGGGGAGCAGGTCAGGCTGCCTGGGGTCATGTGTAGGGTCAAGCAGGTGTTGGTCACACACAGGGTCAGGTTTTCTGTGTGGGTTGGGGCTGAGGAGGCTTATCTTGCTTTGGTTCAGCCTACATTGAAATGTCAAGCCACTGTTGGTAGCATTAAGCATTGCTGGAGCTTTCTGGAGCCATTCCTCATTCTCATCTCTTCTCCTTTGCTGGGGTTGGATCAGGAGAAACCTTTTGCTGTCAGCTTTGAACCTTCTTACTGTTTCCATTTCAGCAAGTGCTGGGCACAGAACAATAGTGAGGAGGGGGCAGTCTAAAGTAGATTTTTCTCCTGAAAATACAAGGCTGTTCATGATGTTCTAATTTACCTTGGCTCTCCTGGGTTTAGATTTGCGTACAAGGAGCTGGCATTTTCTGCAGTGACACAAACAGCAGCGTTTTAAATATCTGGTTCCATTTGCTGTAAAGCATGCTGAGATTGTTAGTGATGAGATAATAGCCAGCTCTGCTGGCAGGCTGTCTCTGAACAGTGTGCAAAGCAAGCTCTGACACACATGAAGCAGCAATCTGTGTGCTCATGAGAAAAGGAACTTTACCCTCTGCTGCACCTGGAGTAGGGCAGGTTGGTTATTGACCTAAGTTCTCATTTAGATCCATCAAAAGAGGTTGGAAAGGCATGAGCTGTGCTTGGCCCTGTCTGAGTGTTTCTAGGATTCTTCATGTTTCCAAGTATATGAAAGGAGAAAAACAGCAAAATATGCTGCTCTTGAGGTTTAACAACCATCTCTGAAAGCCAGCAGGGTTCCTTCCTCTCTGTGTGTGGCTTTATTCAAATGGGCTGATGTTTATGGTGTTTGGGTTGGGGTTTTTTATCCCTC